GGAAATTTATTCATAGCAGGTAATGAAATAGCACAGTCAGGATCCCTAGCACTTCTCAGAGTGAGAGATTTAATTCTGATAACTTTGATGATGGCTCTTGAATCAGAGATTATGAATGGTGACAAGAAGTGACTTATAGAAAGAATGAAAATGAGAAAAAAAAAAAAAAAAAAGAGCAACATATCTCTACAGAAGTGACTCCATATAAGATCATTTTTTTCAAACAGTATGTATAATAGCTTCAAAACTTTATCAGAAAAGTTTTCAAAAAGGCTTAGGACTTAAGCCAAGCAGGTATCATTTCATGTGTAGTTACGAATGTGATAACAATATTAATCAACCTATCAGAAATAAAGAGTGGGAAAGAATTTATAGTTAAAATATGTAATACTAATTGTAGTTTCTGATTTCATCAGCAGAAGGCAACAACTCAAAATTATAGGCAAAGTAATTATCACAAGGAGATGAGAAAACTGAAGAGCTCTTTTTTATGTATTTATATGCATGTATAAAACACTCATTAAATGCACCCACATACAGCTAAATAAAAGTATGTCACAGTATTTATATGAACAGTATGAATCATTTTGTACATTCCATTTTTTAAAGGGAGTGTAGTGTAGTAAAAACTATATCTTTCGGATATAACCCTTTGTACAATAAAAATATGGTTTAGATAAATAATCTTTCCATATGGATAGGTATTTTATTATGACTTCTGATCTGTAAATTGGCAACTGCTTATGCAATACAATCAAATTTTGTTAGATATGTAAATTTTAAAACCATATTTTAAACTCCTCTCCCTGAAAGGAGGAATCTATGTCCCCTATCCTTGAATTTATGATTTGTTTGACCAATAGTTTATCGCTGACATGACAACTATGTCAGTTTTAGGACCAGATCATATGAAATCCTATCATGTCTTTTGGATTCTAACTGTTGTAAGAAAATCCAAGATACACAGAATGGGCTACAAAGAAAGAAACCAAGGCCCTTCAGCGATAAACCTTTGCTGAGATGCAGGCTGAGAGTGCCAACTGTTGGTCACGTGGCAAAGTAATACTCAAGGTAGATGTTCCACCCTAATTCAACCAACCACCCCCACCGAGAAAACATTAAGAGAAGATCTGTCCCTGCCAAACTGTGCTCAAATATCTGAGAACAAATATCTGAGAACAAAATAAATATCTGCTTTATCTTAAAACACTAAGTTCAGGGCTGGTCTGTTAAACAGCAAAGAAACCAAAGAACAGAATAGGTTTTTAATCATTATTGCTAAAGATTATATAAATGGTTTTAATTAAACTGTACATGGTACACATAATGAGGAGGAGGTAAATGCAAATAAAAATATCTAGAAAACTTCATCAGGCTAATACAAATTATATCAATAACTTTTAAAATAAACTGTATATGTAAATACTGACATGAGAACTGAAAGTGTTCCAGGACCTTAAGTATTTCATATATTGAAAAATCTAATTACTTAAGAATTGCTTTCTTAATTGGGTTATATAACTGGCTCTGTCATATTTTATCTGTATTATTTAATTACAGCGTAAACCTCTATAGAAAACACTAGCACTATTAAAAAGGTAAGATGTAGATACTGGTCTGATAAAGCAACATGTTAAATAAAAGAAGTCACTTCCAAAACAGCTCCATTTACAGAGGACTAAGACTATGACCTAGTAAATACTTTTAAATATTCATAAAAATAACAATCACAAGCTAAATTAAAACATATACTGTATATCAAAAAAGTATACTTTGGAACCATAACTGGTTAATTTAATAATGAAAAAAACTAAGTATTAAATGACACTTAAATTTGCCTCAACTTCCTTAATAGAAATATCCTTGAAATAGTTTCCTTAGAAACTGTGTAAGTTTAAATATATTTTGAAGCTTTATGACATACAAATAGACACATAGTAAATATATTAATAAAGTAGAATTGTTTTGCAGCAACATTCTGTCCATCTAATTATTTTTAAGGTACAGTTTCACAGAATTATTTTAGAACATAAAAACTGCAGTTTTATATCTCTTTCATAAGTATTAGTTTTACAGAATAATCAATCCTAATTTATCCAAAACTGAACCAGAGATTTCAACTAACTGTATGTCTTGCACATAATCTAGTTTCATAAAATTTATTCAATAATCAAATAATTAGTACAGGTTCAGTTCTTTTCACATACTACAAATACAGAGCATTAAAAAAGAAGACCAATGTTGAAATGGTGGCAGAAATAAAAATACCTTCAGAGAGGGAATACTGTTAAGCTCAAAACTCTGCCTCCTCTTATAATAAAAAAAACCTGAAAATGAAGATGATTAATCGATTTGTATCGGAGTGAAGCTGGGCTGGAACCCTGCCACTCTCTTGTGTCTTTTCTCATATATTATGCAGCCGTACCTGACATGAGTGATTCCTACATGGTAATGAAATATAAAATAATGTATGATACTGAGAAAAGAGCGCAGCAGAACAATTTCTTCTGAGTAAAAGTCATCACATTTCTGTTGAAAAATGGGGATTCTTCATTCTATAAAAATATATTTCACCAAAACATTTTTAATATTGCCCAGGTAAGCACATGTTTGTAATATTCAAAAAAAATTCACTAAAATTATTCAAGAATGTTCATTACAAAAATTTAATTTTGATCCAGGTTGAGGAGCCCTTGTCTAACAAACACACTGAGGACCAAGTGCGCGTCCATCGGGTCTCTGGCTTTTCTGTGGGTTTTGAATACATCCACACACAAATAAGGAGCTTTGAGGATGAGACTCAAGTCTCAACAGAATTAAAGTACCTCATCTTTGATATTTATACAGAAACCTAAAGTGGCTTTGTATGATGTTTTTAGTACACGTGCATCGTGAATGTGGCCCACCGTATGCCACCGCGTGAGCCGCGTCACACTTGCAGATCCACTCTCGTGCCTAAAGCTTTCAGATTTCAGACATTCCACCAGGCTATTCCAGAGTGCTGCTCTAGTTTTACTGTGAATAACATCATGTTTTCATTATATTTTTACTTATGATAAGTACTATTTGAAAAATATTCTCAGTTTTCTTTTTCATTTTTATTTCATTGTGCTAATTAAAACACTTTTCTAGATGGTGAGAAGTTAGTATGCATGTAATCTTAATAAACTAATTCACCACTAGCCCTTAGTTTACTTATTCTTGACAGAGTATGTACTCAGAAATTTTTGTTATTCGTGTCAGAAACTAAAAATTTAAATCATCAAAACCATGACAATATACTTAAAATATTAAAACAAAAAGCACGATTTTGAAAAATGACCTACTTAAAACAAAGTGTATTTTTTTATTAAAAGGAGATCTGTTATGATTATGTCAAGCTGGGAATCTTTGAGATATTAAAAATAACTCATTTTATTTTATATTATTTTAATAGTACTATAGAGTGAAACCAAGGCCTTCATATTGAGCTATATCCCAAGCCTTTTCTTAATCTCTGTTTTATGATGAAGTCTCATTCAGTAGCCAAGTTACCCACCAAAAGTCCAACTTGAGCTCTTCCTCCTCCTCAGCCTGCTTAGGTCACCAGCTCATGCAAACACTGGGCTTAGCATTTACAATTTTAAATGGTAATAAACCAGTGTATTTAAATGCATGAGATACACAAAAATAAAATGTAAGGTAACATTCTATGACTGTATGTGCTACCCAGAGGTAAAACTCTTTATATAATTTTTAAAATAAAATTTAAAATATTCAGTGATGGGGCACAGACATAAGTGAAGTGCGAACGAAGTAAGTAAATTTAGTGAATTTCTTGAACTTCATTTTCACCAGAGAAAACATTTCCATTTTAGATGTACCAACCTGGAGTAGGCAAACAGTTTACTATCCCAAAGCTCATGAGTCCCTCTAGGACCAGAATGGAAATAACAGGAATCGGTCCCATCAAACATATTCAATCCGTCCTCTGCATTTTTGGAAGCATGACTGTGTACCACATCTAAGAGGACTGTGATACCCAGTGAATGAGCTGTGTCAACAAGTTCTTTTAGTTCTTCAGGGGTTCCATAGCGACTAAAGGTAGAGAATACAATAAAAACATTATGCTATAATTAAAGTAATTAGCCAATGGAACATCATTTTATTCAGTATATTATTACATCTTAAATAGTCAATGGCAGTATATGATACTTACATACAACTTAAAATTGCTCAGCATTTGTTGTTAAATTTAAAAGCATTAGATAAAAACAATACATCAGGCTATTAAGTATAGCTTCTTAATATCCTAACGAAAGTTCATATTTTGAGCGTGTAAAACAGTAACACCCTCACTTCTCTGGCCTCAGAGATGCTGGTTTATATCTCTAAGCCCAGCCAGTCACAGCCTTCCAGTGCACATGTATGGCCACTGCTCGGGGCTGTACAGCTGCCCCGGAAACAGGGGCTCTCACAGCACCTCCTTGAAGGCCAAGAACACCTCAGCTAAGACTACTGTTCCTGCACATGTTACACCGGGCTGTGCGCTGGGCCAAGGAAATGTGCCACATGTGTCACAATTCAAGTAGAAAAGACGAGTAGTTCATGGGCACATGTGTCTGTGTTAAAAGCAGTCTCCTAATCTACATGCAATAAAAACAAAAATCATCTCTACATGAAGGCCTTCTTAATTTGTGAAATATTTGAATACTGCAATCTTCTAAAACATCAACTTTCTCTGTTGATGTTATAGAACATCAGATTGTTTATCAACTTTAAACAATAATTGTCCTTCTTACTGTTTATGGTCTCTGTTTGTCTACTTGAGGACAAGGACTAGAACAACCTGCTTTCTAGTGGTAAAGTACAATGCTTAGTAATAAGTAAATTAGTAAATTACAGCCAATTCCACTAACCAAAAGCAAGGATTGGCCAATGGGAGGAACATCATTTAGTAATAAAAAAAGATGAAGAAGAAAGCTCAAAGGAAATAAAAAATAAGTAATCAGTGCAGAGAAAAACACAACAATGGCAATGTGATGTGCTGGATGGGTGCCAAGAGATAAAGAAAAACTTCTAAGAAGGTAAGAATAAGCAGTTGTGACCAATGACACTGACGGCTCAAGTAAGTGGAGAACTGAGTCCTGCACTTAACAATGTGAAAGGCAGCAGTACCCTTAGTGAAAACTGTTGGTAAACAGCTTATTTGAGTAAGTTAAAGGAAGAACAAGAATTTAGATTATTTTCCTAGGACCTTGCAGTATATGTCGAATTATTTACTTGAGCCTCCAGAAAAAGAATAAATAGTCAAAGAAAAGGGGGAAAGGGCCAGCAAGATAGCTCAGCGGTCTAAAGCGTCTGCTTAGGCAAGCTTAGGTAAGCATAGGGACCACAGTTAGAGCCCCAGCACCACATGCCATGCCAGCCCCACACCCAGGGCAGGTGGAGCCAGCTACAAAAAAGAAAAAAGAAAAGAAAAGAAAGGAGTAAAGAATTTAGGCACAGCACATATATTTTATTCAAGTATAACTAATAAAAAGAAAAATAGAGATATGAACATTATTGACTGCCTAGGACTGCTGAGCTATCTTGCTGGCCCTTTTCCCCTTTTCTTTGACTATTTATTCTTTTTCTGGAGGCTCAGATAAATAATCCAACATATACTGCAAGGACCCAAATGAATTGGGTCTCTAAGCCCAATTCATTCCTTTCTCCAGGTAATATTATTCATTTAATCTAAACTGATAAAATCCCTAATTCTATACAACTATAGCACCATTTTCTTATTTTTTGCTACCAAGAGAATTCACAGTATATGTGATTATTAGGTCAATATTTACATATCACCACGCTGTAAACTGAGGTGAGGCAGAGACACTGTTGGACTTGTTACACGCATGGTCATCCAACTCATATCATTTCAATGTTATAGACTCCATTATAGGATTCATATCCAGAGAGCAGTCTTCCTTCCTCTCCAGCCTGAGAAGCACAGCCATCCTGTACATAGTGAGAACTTCTACCAAGGAACTTCTCATTGACCTTCCTATATGAGTCAGTATCTCTCCCAAAAATGATGTGAGCTCTTTCAATAAAGAATTCTATAGAATACCACTTTCCAACTTAAGAATGGGGCCTCACCTGTATCACACTTTTAGCAGGTAATAAGACTTCTCTGTCAGAAGTCATTCCATGAAAAGTGACACTAAGTGTGGGACACACTATACGTCTACATGGGAAGCAGGTCTATCTTTTTGTAAAAGAAAATGTATAGCTCAGTTACTTCTGTTAATTATAAAATAAGTCACAAAACAACACTATGTAGAATGCAAAAGTTCATTTTTAAAACAAATAAACATGAATAAAAGATTTTCATTTTACCTTGATGCTGCAAAAAAGCTTGTGACTTGGTACCCAAAGCTGGCATAGTAAGCATGCTCCATGACGGCCATCAACTGAATGCAGTTGTATCCTGTAAAAGCAACAGGCAGACCGAGAGTCAAACACATATTTTTAAAAAATGAATAAAAACATCCTAAAGACATGAATTTTATAATAATCTATAAATTATGACCATCTTTGAAAGCTCTACAACTATACCTTATTTACTTGTTTGACCTTCTAACACAAAATTAGGTACTTTTGTTGAAATGCCTAATTGAAAGGTCTTCACCTTAAAAAAGCAAAAACTGATGCAAATCTGCATATGTTAAATTCAGTTGCATTGGAAAATATAAACTTTATGGAAGGTGAAGATAAGTAACTGGTTATATGATACATATTTTTAAATTTGCCTTTTTCTTTGTATTTTACTCATTTTCTACTATACAGCATAAGAAATATCACCCAATTAATTTTTCTACAAAGTAACTTTTATAAATCATTATTAATGTTTCCACTTTTCACTATGTTTAGATCTCCAAAATTAAAGTAGTATACACGCATGCCTGTGTGAACATACACTCATGCATACACTCAACACTTCCTCTAAGTGTATTTTGCTCAAACCCTAACTGAAGTGACTCAAAAAGGTAGCTATTGTATTTAAAATCCAAAATGTTTACAAGTATTTACTATAAGGGTACAATAAGAGGAAAATACTTTTAATCTATTAAAAAATCTGAGAAAAGCTTTTCTTACATAAAATACAATTTAGTAATATTTAAAATACAATTTACTTTGAAAGTCACACTTCTGTAACCTATATAGAAAATATTATTATGTTCTTAACAAACAACTCACATAAGCTTTTCAATTTTCTTGAGGTTTCAGTTCATATTTACTATCAAGTCATTAAAATGTGTAACTATACTTGTAAACAAACAAAAGTGTCAAATTAATGTCACTGAACTCTTATATAGTAGTTTCTCATACACATTTTTAGTATATCATTAATACTAGAAAAATTACAAATCACACTTGGAATTACAGATTTTAAGAAAAACATATGTCAGGGCCAGGGAGATAGCTCGGCAGTCTAAGCTGGCCACCAAAACCAGATGTGGTGGCACACATCTGTAATCCCAGGTGCTGGGGAGGCTGAAAACATGAGGATCACTATGAGATCCTGTACCAAATATATTTTAAAAAAATTAAAGAAAATAACATCATTATGTTCATGATTTTATAATGTACTGAAAAGTTATTGCAACAAAATTAAATTAGCTCTACCAGGACTGATGGGCATATGGATATAAAACGTTATTCATATTATATAATCAGTTGCTATATTTTTTACAACAAAATTTAGAGTTTATAATTTATTGATCTGCTATCTAATAAATAAGTGTTATGATCAAACAAAAATTTTTTCAGTGCTGAGCGATGAATCTAGGACCTTCTCACTGAGCTATTTCTCCTGCCCTTTTTATTTTGAGGCAGAGTCTCACTATGGCCTCTAAGTTGCCCAGGCTGGGCCCAAACTGGCAATGCTCCTGTTTTAGCCTCCCAGAATGCTCAGATTAAGAGTATGCACCACCACACCTGGATTGCTACTTACTTTTGAGAGTATCAATAAATCTGGGATTCATTTATGTTCTACGTACTAGACTAGACATTTAAACTTAATGAGAGAATGATAGAATCCCTGCACTGCTGAATATGTACAAATTTGGTCATAAATAATGTATTATTTGATAATATGAAAGAACATCCTCCAAGCAATAATAGTGTACATGAAATCAAAGTAACGTTAAATCTCTATTTATCTATTAGAAGCTTAGTTTTTGCAACACAGGTAATTAAGTTGTATATATCATTGAAAATTTTTATCTTAATTTGTAAACTTTACCTCTAGCCAAAATACAGACTCTCCAGCAAAAGTAGTATAATTAAATGTACTTTATCTTCCTGTCTAGTCATTGCAACAGTTTTAATAATGTTGTAAAATTATTTTTAAAAGCGTTATTTAAAAGAAAATTAACAGCCATAACATGTTGAATCAATAATTCAGTAATATATGATTTATTATGTTGATGGCTCCTGTGGAGACAGCGTCTATGTCTTACAACTCAATACATGAAAACCTTGTGCAATGTGTCTCACACAGACGATGTTCCATAACTGTTCATTAAAAAAGTCGTCCTGACAAAGACTTTATACCATGATTCTGATTCAAAGTGAGTTTTAGACACCTTAAAAATGAGAATGCTTTCTCTAAAATAGTAAAATGAACAGGCTATAATCAATGACCACTTCAATTAATAAAGGTTATCTCCTGTAGAAAAGTAATTATGCTTACATATTTATCTACAACTCTGAAAGCCAACAGTTCACATTACTTAAAATTGAAAATGGAATACTATCTTGAATTCTTACACTCTATCTTATTCTATTTTTCTTTTCTATGCTATCACTGTTACAGGGCAATTCTAGAAGCCTGAAATAAAATGCATTTCTATTACATATTTAATCTCTTAACACAAAAAAGAGACACTTGTAATTAGCTTTTCTAATAAGAGAACAGACTCATTAAAATTTTATCTGAATAAAAATCATAGTTATTACTTACCAAGGTCTTTGATTCTTGGTAGTACATTGCATGTAAAATGTTTGTAAGAGGCTATTTTTCCTTCATGGGAAGAAATTCCCACATGAGATTCATAAATTCTCAGGCTTCTTGGCTTCTTTGGTCTGGAATGCTTAAACTACAGAATATAAAATTACATATAAAATTAAACCATGAATTCACATATGACACAAACTGATCAAGGATGTTATACAAAATGGTGAATAAACTCAAACACTGGACACTATTCTCAAATATAAAAGGCACACATTATATTCCTTGTACTACAATATTTCCTTTGCAAAAAAAATGACTTAGGGTCTTGTTAACAAACCTAGTTTAAGAGGAAAATGTCATGTAATGGCACATGCCTTATCATTAGTAGAAAACTGTAGTTTTCTTTGCCCAAGCCTTAAAAAAAAAAAAGCCAAGAAATGTGTATATAGTTATCAAATATAAAGCATTTATCAAAAAGTGACAAAATTTATCCTAATTAATATATTTCTAATATAGCCTTTCCAATTTGCTACTCCTAAAACCACTGACCCTACTACAATACTGTGACAATGAGAAAGATTACATCACTAAAGTCTTTGAATATCAGAAATTCTGGCTATGAAACAAATTTGCATTTCTTTTCAATTAGTATGTTGAGATATAGTGTTTTTTCCCTAATTTCACATACATAATAAAACTGCCAGGCATAGTAACATATACCTGTAGTCCCAGCACTTGGGAGTTTTAGGGAGGAGGATTGCTGTGAATTTGAGACTAGCTTGGCATATATAGTGAGTTCAAGACTAGTGTGACCTACACAGCAAGACCCTGTCTCAAAATCAAACAAGATTGGGTGTGGCAGCACGTGCCTGTAATCTCAGCACTTGGGAGGCTGAAAACAGGAGAATCACTGCGAGTCCTATCTATGTAGCGAGACCCTATAGGCTCTGTAGACCCTGTACTAAATATAAAAATAAAACAAACAAAAAAGTAAAAAAAGAAAAACCTATAATCAATTAGCTACTGATGACGGACTCAGATCTGTGTGTAGCCTAAGAAGAGCATGGTGATGTACAAAACGAAGCTGTGGTGAAGGGAGACATCAGACATTACTATAAAACTATAAAAGTAAAAATTTGCTTTCCTGGAAATACTAGAATAAGAATTTATTTAAAAACTTGTTATTCTCACTTTATATGGGTGTTCGGGATCCCAGTGTATCCAATCATAATTCACATTACTACCTTCACGAACCACATACTTCGCCCATGGTGAAATACGGTACAAGATCTCTCCACTTTTACTAGTAATAACTACCTAGAAAGAGAATAAAAGTTATCACCTTAAAATGTTTATAAAATCTTAAGATAAATCATGATACTTAGCATTGCTATATGTAGGAAATGAGGAATGTTCTGAAGAATTCGGACACCCATTCAGATGCACAGGCTGAAAGAACACACTTAAATTCTGTTAGAGTGACTTTCCTCATAGTCTAATATGATCATTAAATTCATTCACATGTTGAGTATGTTATGGACCTCCAGCAATTTTTATGATTGCAAACCAGTTATTAGAGTGGTTGACTAAGCCTCCAAAAGGCACCAACAAGACAAGCACATTCAAAAGATAAGGTTATTTGGAAATTGCTGTCAATAAACCAATCAATAAAAGGGAATAACCTTACTCTTAAAAACAGGGATAAGTGAGATATGTTCATTTCTTCCTTTTCCTTTTCATGGGAAAGTAATAAAAATATTTTCAGAAAGGCAAAAGACAAGAATAGTTTAACACTTGATTAATATAAATACATACACATATAATTTCTACCCATTTTCAATTTCTTTTACCAACTATCCCTCATCGTATTAAAACATGATTTCCTTTAGCCATCTACTCTCATATATGCATATAACATCATTTATAATTTAATAATGTAAGATAACAATAAAAACATAGTTTTAGAACCTAGCATTTCATACTTAACCCTGAATAAAGGGCTCCAAATTTAACTAGCCATGTAAATGTAGCTTCCAAGTGATTAAAATTAGAGCTTCTTACAGAGTCATCTTTTTTATTAAACTTTCTAAAAGCAGGTAAATTGTGATTAAAATGTTCAGATTAGAAGCTACATCATGCTCTTACCATTGCGAGAAAACGTAGGTTGGCCTGTGTTGTTTAACAGACAAAAGCTCAGGTACTTATAATATTTGGTAATTAAATATTTGTTTAATGCTTTATAATTAAATGAGGACATTCACACTCATAGCTCACTTGATTCAGGACAGTTTATGACTCGGATATTAAGTGAGATTAAATAAGCTAATGTCTAAAAATCACTAAGCGGCAGAACCAGAAGCTGAACACAGAGCTTCTGACACTCCCTTGCCTGAAATGGGTTCCCAAGGCAGTTTCTTGAGATGCCAGAAAGGAGCAAGTCATGGTTTATGAAAGAGGGGGCAGGTGAGCAGTGAAGAGGATTGCTTAATTTACATGAACATAATTCATCTCTTTCTTCAATATGACTCCTACTCACTAAGCTAATCACAGCCAGAATGGTCTCTTATTTATTACCACAAAAGCATGAATGAGTAAGACCCATTTACGTTAGGAGTACTTTAAAACTAAAAGATATGCCCCTTCACCCACATCAATTTCTAGTACAATGTGTAACAGTGCCATGGTAGGAAAAAGCTACTCATTCAAGAACATAGAACAGAATGTGAGAAAACAAAATACCACAAAATGCCATTTTCCAGGTTTTCAATGAAAAGCACTCTGCCTGACCTATCCAACCATCCTTTTTGTTTCGCAAGCAGGTCAACATGCACTGCAAGGATAGGCCATAAACAAATAATCATTGTTGAAGAGGCCTGCTGTCAGGGAGAAAATTTCAGAGAATAATAGCTTAAAGAAGCTATGGCATGTTGAATATTACCCCCACATCCTTTGGAACATTATTTCACTTAGCCTGCTGTGCACGTATCTTCAGAAACTACTGATTCCTAAATGTTCTAAGACACTCCTTTTGTGGGCCTCTGATAATCCCATAGCTTTTGATGGCCATGCCAATAACTTAATACCCTGGACACTGTTATGGGAGATAATTTCTAACGGTTGTTTTTGTAGTCAGTAATCTTGACAGATAATATCTTGAAGAGAGAAAAAGCTCTCTTACTGCTTGTGGTAGAAGAATAGATGCCAAAGCCTCCATACTCCCAGGCTGAGATGTAAAACCACTGTACAAGTCAGCCATGCGGGCTATATGGCATTGTCTCTCTTGAGATTAGAAAAGCAACCAATGCAAAGAAAACCACTGTTTTTTTGTTTTTTTTGTTTTTACCTAGGAAGCCCATGTTTTCTGTCAGAAGCAATGAATGAAAATAAGAAAATTTCTGATCTTGGAGGTAAGGCAGTGTAAAATCAAGTCACACACTCAACTAAAAATAATTTGTTCATTCACTGAAAACTCTGAATATTTTTTCTAACATTCCTTTTCTTGTGGATTTTTTTTCTACCAGGGTTGCTCATCAAAATAGAGCAAGACTTTCAGTTTTCCAGTTTCAGAGAGACATCCTCACTGCCAGGTAGGCAGTAAGACCAAGGGAGGGAAACCCTAAACTTTGTACCATGTGAGACCAAGTATAATACACAGGTGCTCTAGAGGAAAACGCACACAAGATAAGGAAAAGGAAAACTCACTGGGACAAATCTGGTATTTTGTTTCTGTTATCTGGAGGGAAAGGAGGATAAAGAGAAGTTGCACCAACCCTGGATCATGGCCCTTCTAATGCTCTAGCTCCAGCGTATAGGCCATCTTGAGAAAAGATCAGGCTCCCTGAGCGAGCCTGACCTCAGTAGTCTACCCGACAGAGTAAGCTTCCAGTCACTCTACTCTCCCCACCAATAAAGGAACACAGTCAGTGCGACATTTGAAAATCAGGCTTCAGGGAAACTGGGCTCCAGAATGTGGTGTGAGAGAGGATGGATGGGAAGGACCTCAACGATCTGGAAAGAAGCGAGCCAATTAGACCCGAATCCAAGAGCTGAAAGGCCAGGAACCCAGCAGCTATACAAGTGAACAGCATCTGGGGATGTTCAAGTTCTTCAGAACTGGAATCTGAGCACAGAGAAAACTGGCCTGGTGGCACAAGTGACAACATCTAGGAATGGCAAGACCAATTAGATAGTGAAATCTGAGTGCTGAGAAAACTATCTCTGATTGCTGCATGAGCAAGCAATATTTGTGAGCAGCAGGAACCTGGTGAAGAAGAGGCCAGATGGACTCACAAATAATTGCTCAGCCATTCCTTTCCCACACATGAGGAGTGTGTGCTTACAGGAGAGTGTACTGTCCATGTGCAAGGGCAGGTGGCAGTGGAGGAAACACACGGAGCCAGCCACGGAGTCTGCCCTACAGGGAAAGGAGTCAGGAGTAAGAGGGCCGCGTGGAAGTGAATGGAGAACTGGGCCCTAGGCCAACTACGTTCATCCTCCCCTTGTCCAATCAGCAGAAGGAGTCAGACCTTGGAGCCAGGAAGGAGATGCACAGCTAGCTACTCCCAGATCACAGAGCACCACCCAGGGCAAAAGCCCTCTTTCCTCAGACAGGCAAATAAGCCAGTCCTGGAGTAGGGACAAGCCTAGATCTGCAAGAGACTACAATATCAATGAGACTGAAGATGTTTTCATTTTGTGCTTTTGCAATGGTATGAGAAAGATTTTGGTGACTATTTTTAAAGGTTTTCCTTCTTCTCTCCCTTTCTGTCTTTTTTTTTTTCCTCCTCTTCTAACTTTGCCTCTTCTCATTCTGATTCCCTTACCTTCCCTCTCTTCACTCCTTTCATCTGCCATATAAATGAGAAATGTCCACAGATGTATAAAAGAGAACAAGAAGTAGCTGATGCCTTAATTAAACAGTACCTCTCACAGGCAGGTCAGAGGAACCCTTATTAAAATCATACATAAAGGAACCAAATATAAACTACTAACATAATAGCAGGTTTGAAAATCTCTAAGCTTCCCTCACGCTGCAATTCTGCTTCCTTCCCTCTGCATTCCTTTTTCCACTGCCATAAATGTCCTCTCCAACCCCTTCTACGTAAGCCCTTGACATCAGCAATACGAAGAATTGCAGTTGACTCTGATCTCCTGATTTTACGCTGTACTTCTATTCATTCCCTCTCTATTGACTTAACTCTTTCCTTTTTATTTACCTTTTTCCTTTCCTCTCCCCCTACTTAGTAGTATAATTGTTAACAGTTGTATAGCGTAGTATGAAAGGCACATTGATAAAAGTGTGAAATTGCAAAACAAGTATTTATGTGCATGATTACTGATGGTAGGATTAGTAGGCTGAGGCTGTAATAACCCACAAAGAATTCTCATAACACGGTGACCCAGTCCACTCCTATTAAACTGCATAAGTAAGAGAGATAGGTATTTGTAAACAAGTAAACAAATCCAAGATGCTATCACTAGAAAGTAGGCATGGTAAAGATCTGCATATTAGCAACAAAATCTTTCCATTCTGATTATCAACATTCAAGTGTGTGTACATGTGCAGAGGTGCGCGCAGAGAGGGAGAGAGCGAGGGAGGGAGGGAGTGAAAGGGGGGAGGGAGGGAGAGGGAGGGGGAGAGAACGAGAAGCAAAATGCCTTCAAAAACTCTCCTAAAGCAAGTCTAAGGAATCTTGAAGGGAAGGAACTCCAAAAATCAAATTATAAAAAATGATAAAAGAAACAAGCTCAGCAAGTGCAAAGATGATATAAATAAGCAAATAAAAAAGCAGCAAACTGATTAGTGAGTTTAATAATATAAAAATAGAGTTAATCAAAATGACTAAAAACATGAACAATTTAGCAAAGGAGTAGAGTCCATGAAACACGTTAAATAGAAAGCCAGCAGATAGAAAATTCTATTAAAAGTATGGACAGCAGAAGTGACCACTGAGAAGACAGAATCAAGATTAGGAGACAGATGATACATGAGACCATATACTCAGGCATACATTAAAAACAGCAAGAGGAGAAAGGACACAGATATCAAAGCTACTAGGTGATACAAAGAGAACTAACCCAGGACAGACAGGACTGGCATAAAAAAACTACTGATAGAAATTGTAGCAGAAATATTTCAAAATATGAAGAAAAAAATGCAACATACAAGTAATCAAAGCATATAGCCACAACTACAAAATGATTTCTCCATAACATACCATCATCAGAAGACAAAAAGTACAACACAAGCACAAAATTTTCA